CCGTCAAAATTTACATTCCTTTGCCCTAACCCTAATCCTGCAGGTAAATAGCAGTGGATTGGAGTTGAAAGGAATTTTTTAACCCCAAATGAGAGAGTAGATGGTAAGTAGATGAAACAAAAACAAAAGTCCAAAAGATAGACTCAAATGCTTAAGGACTTCTCTAGCTAACTGGCTAGAGCCTATAATCAGGAATCCATACCCCAATGACCAACCCCAGCCATCTGTTTTTGTAAGGCCATCTGTTTTAGTTTGCTAACTAAAAATTTTTTTTTAATATTTAAAATAAAACTTTATTTACAAATGTTAAAACCATTCTTAGCTCACCTGCTGTACAAAAACAGACAGCAGGCAGGATTTGACCCTGGTCTATATGATAAAAAATCCAAAATAGATCCTGGAACTATGAGCAAAAACATGGAGAAAGAAGTATTCCAGTTGAAGATCAGCTGATGCCCCAAACAGCAGCATGGAAGAGAGAGCAGATTAGTCCTAGACCTCACTTAACAGAAAAAGCAGCTCATCTGAGGATATAGGTAGCTCTGAGGAGAAGCTAGTAGTATCCTCAAAGGAGTAAGTTACACCAGCCGTGTATTTTCCCTGACTAAGAGTGTTCCCTGTGGGGATTTCCTCTCCTGCTGGTGGTATGGTAACCTGTGAGAAAGAATATTTGGGGGAGGTGGTAACAGAAAAAGGAGAAGAGAGGAAAAGGAATCTTTCTTTTCACTTATTTTGTTACATTGGTAATTAAATGTATTTTACTTTGAAATAATATGTTCTGTCATTGGTGGAAGAAACACATTGGTGGAGGCTTGTGAGGTACGGTTTTGAATGGATCCTGATCTGCAACATGCTTTGGAACTAAGGTAGCTTTTAGGATAGTTCTGCTGGAGGTGGGGAGGGGGTGTGTGTGACAGAGATAGGAGCAGATGATTCATCTATTTGCTACCCCCTTGTATAATAATAGGAAGAGACTAGATGATGCCTGTAAATGAGAAGTAAAGGTCATTTTCAGTTTATAATTCTATGACTCAAAATACCCTAACCTCCATACCACCTCTGACACTTTGTTGTAGATTGGGAACTTAGAGAGAAACAGTGTAACCCAAAGCCTTGCACCAAGTAACCAACCCAGAGGAGGTTTTCTTGTTCAACAAGGCATTAGCACTTTCTCAGAACACTTAGCAGCAACTTCAGTCTCTGAGGTCTTGTTAGAGTCTCAAGATAAGAGAGATAGATACATAGAAACAAAGTAGAGATAAATATGAAAAAATAGATATAAGTGATGGGAAATGTGGGACAGTGACTAATAAGAGTTTTGTCGAGATAATTTGTTGGTCATAAAACTCTTTTTCAACAACCCAAAAAGCAACTCTATATATGGACGTTACCAGATGGTCAATATAGAAATCAGATTAATTATATACTTCACAGCCAAAGGTGGAGAAGCTCTATAAAGTCAGTTAAAACAAGACCTGGAGCTGAGTGTGGCTCACATCATGAGCTTCTTATGGCAAAATTCAGTCTTAGCTAGGTGGCACAGTGGATAGAGCACTGGCCCTGGAGTCAGGAGGACCTGAGTTCAAATTTGGCCTCAGATACACAACATTCACTAGTTGTGTGACTCTGGGCAAGTAACTTAACCCCAATTGCACCTCACCAAAAAACAAACAAACAAACAAAAGCCACTTCAGTCTTAAATGGAAGAAAATAGGGGAAACTATCAGACTGTAGAGATATGACTTAAATAACATCCCTTATGAATATGAAGTGGAGGTTATGAATAGATTTAAGGAATTAGATCTGGTAGAGTGTCTGAAGAACTATGGACAGAGGTTTGTAATACTGTACAGGAGGAAGGAACCAAAAATATTCCGAAGAAAGAGAAGAGCAAGAAAGCAAACTGGCAGCTTGATGAGGTTCTACAAATAGCTGAAAAAAGAAGGAAAGAAAAGTAAAGGAAAAGGGGAAAATCTGCTTAACTAAATGCAGAACTCCAGAGAATAGTAAGAGATAAAAAGGTTTTCTTAAATGAGCAGTGAAAAAAATAGAAGAAAATAATAGAATAGGAAAGACAAAACATCTCTTCAAGAAAATTAGAGATATCAAGAGAATGTTTCATGCAAAAATGAACATGATGAAAGACAAAAATGCTCAGATTTAACAAATGAGATTAAGAAGAGGCAGAAAGAATGCACAGAAGAACTAAACAAGAAAGGTCTTAACATCACTGGTAACCACTAAGGTGTGGTTCCTGATCGAGAGCCAGACATCCTGGAGAATGAAGTCAAGTGGGCCTTAGGAAGCACTGCTAACAACAAGGCCAGTGGAGGTGATGGAATTCCAGCAAAGCTATTTAAAACCCTAAAAAATGATGCTATTAAAGAGCTGTACTCAATATGCCGGCAAATTTTGGAAAACTCAACAGTGGCCACTGGATTGAGAAAGATCAGTTTGTGTCCCAGTCCTAAAAAAGGGTAATATCAAGGAATGTTCAAATTACTGAAAAATTGTGCTCATTTCACACACCAGCAAGGTTGTGCTTAAGATTCTGCAAAGTAGGACTCAGCAACATGTGAACTGGGAATTACCAGAAGAGCAGGCTGGTTTTCAAAGAGGCAGTGGAATTAGAGACCAAATTGCCAACATTCACTGGATTATGGAGAAAGCAAGAGAGTTCCAGGAAAAAAAAATCTACTTCTGCTTCATTGACTACACTAAAGCTTTTGTGTAGATCACAACAAAATGTGGCAAGTTCTCAAAGAGATAGGAGTACCAGATCATCTTACTTGTCTAGGCCAAGAAGCAACAGTTAGAACCAAACATGAAACAACTGATTGATTTAAGATTGGGGAAGGAGTATGACAAGGTTATATATTGTCACCATATTTATTTAACTTACATGCAGAGTACATCATGTGAAATGCCAGGCTGGGTGACTCAAAAGCTGGAATTAAGGTTACTGGGAGAAATATCAACAATCTCAGATATGCAGATGATACCACTCTGATGGCAGAATGTGAAAAGGAATTAAGAAGCCTCTTTATGAGGGAGAAAGAGAAGAGTGTAAAAGCTGGCTTGAAACTTAACATAAAAAAAAAAAACTAAAATCTTGGCAACTGATCCCATCATTCCCTGGCAACTAGAGGGAGAAGAAATGAAAGCAGTGTTAGGTTTTATATGCTTGGGCTCAAAGATGGCATCTGTATAGGCAAAGCTATGGTTTTTCCAGTAGCAAGGGACGGCTGTGAGAGTTGGACTATAAGTAAAGCTAAGTGCTGCAGAATTGACGCTTTTGAATTGTGGTGCCGATGACTTTTGAGAGTCTCGTGGACAGAAGGATATCAAATGAGTCAATGCTTAAAGAAATCAATTCAGGCTATTTACCAACAAAAATCAAATACTGAAACTGAAATTTAAATACTTTGGCCACATAATGAGAAGATGGAACTCACTGGAAAGGACCCTGATCTGGGGAAAGATTAAAGGCAAAAGGAAAAAGGGATGGCAGAGGATGAGATGGATACATAGTGTCATGGAAAAAATGAACATGAACTTGGACAAACTTTGAGAGAGAGTAGAAGATAGAAGAGCCTGGTGTACCATAGTCCATGGAGTCATGAAGAGTCAGACATGACTGAATAATGAAGAAAAGATAAATGGATGGATAACTAGATAGATGGATAGATAGGTAGAAGATGGATAAATAGATATAAACAGAAATAGCTCAGTCAAAACGTATGAATTGATACAATGGATAGATGGATGTAATAGAGATGTAAATAGATGGGTAGATACGTGGATGGATGGATGGATGGATGGAGCTGCATAGACACGATTTCCATGGCATACCAGGCAAAGAAGCAGTCTTCTTTCCCTCAGTGCAGGGATAATCCCTTGACTGGACTCAGTAGAGCTTTTCTGGGAATAGGCAGCTTGGTTCCTTGTCTTTCCAGTTAAAACTCTCTCCTTGAAGAGAAAATCAATGGGAGAGAGAAGCTGGATGCAGGAAGGTTCAACTTGGCAAATTACCCCGAGCACAATTGGCCCTACTGGAAGATTTTACTGGGGGAAATAAAAGATCTTCGCCAGGTTTTCTTGCCCCTATCCTTGGATGGTTTGTGCGTGAGTTAGGAGGGCTAAGGACTTTGAGAGGAGAGATCTGAGCTCAAAAGAGCACTCAGGGAAGGTCAGCTGACCTCTTTTGACAATATGGAGGGATTCTTGGTAGGGCAGGGGTCAGACTTGAGGCCCCCATGTTCCCTTCCAAATGTTTTATCCTATTACTGTGATTCTAGCCCTATTTCCTAATTTATGGACTGTTTGACCCTGGGCAAACCCCTTCCCCTTTTAAAGCTTTAGTTTCTTTCCTTGGGCAAATAAGTGAGCTGGAAGAGGTCATGTGAATGATGCCTCCTAGTTCTAGTGTTTGTGTTTCGCTGTATTCCAGATGAAGAACTCAGAGCAAAGAAAGATGAGAGTTCATTTATCAGAAACATGCTAGCCTAGCTAGTATGTAGGAAGGCTGCTTTTCCTAGCATTCTGATTTACTGAAGACTCCCTTGTCACTGACTATGCCTGATTGTGAACTTGTCTTTTGCCTCTTTTTGCATGCCCAGCTCTTAGCACAGTGCCTGACACATAGTAGGTGCTTAATAAATGTTGATTGACTGACTGATTGCAACTTCCCCATCTCCCAGGGATACACAACCTAAAGACCTGAGGTCCACCCCTGGGCAGGGGCTTCTTCAAACTCTCCCCACATTTGCACATTCAGAATGCTCCCTGTTGGAGCACAGACCAGCAGGACACCCCACAGTCTGGGGAGAGGGGTGTCCAGATGGGGTCTATGTGGTAAAAGAGCAGAGATCAAGGCTATCCTGCCAAGCTTCTGCTCTTATCCCTCACCATCACAACTCTAGACAGAATCATTGGAGAGTGTTTGGAAACAGAAACAGAAACCAGGTTATTCCTCATCATTTAATTTAATGAAGGTGAAAACTATACAGCAGTGGAGCAAATGGCCTGGCCAGAGCTGGGAGCCATAAAGAATGGGAAGCTCCTTGCTTTTCCTGCTCTCTCCCCCACCATCCCTCCCAGACAACATCCGCAGGGCAGCTTCCCCACCCTGGCCATGGATGATGCATCAGCACAGTGAGGAACAGCATAAGTCCAAGTGGCCTGGGCAGCTTGTGGCTGGAATGTGGGGAAAGAAAGAGGGCTGGCAACCGGCCCTGTCTAGAAAAGGCTTCCACAAGAGTGGAAAAGGCAGTATGTACAGCTGGCACCGATTGGACCCTGCTACCCACCCTAAGGAGAAGTTAGGACAGGCTCTCTGGACATCCCCTGGCACTTCTTAGCAAGGAGAGGAAACAATCCAACATAAGCCCTTCTCACCAAGTGGGACAGCCCCTAAGGAGGCCAGGTGCATGCAGGTGAATCTGCTTTCATTGAGAAAGCATAGAACCAGGCCCTTCGCAATGCCACCGAGTTAAGAAAATAGAATCTGTCCAGGGACGTATTGTTCAAGGGCTCATGACCCAGCACCCCCACAGCAGAGGCATACCCTCTTGGGCCCACTCCAGGTATGGCACACTAAGTACCCCCTTCAGAACAGACAACTCACTACTGGTGTGAGTTGCTAATGTTCAGGAACATCCATATATTCAGTTAGCTAAGATTGCCGTTCTAAGTTCGGCTCTAGATAATCTAGAAGGCGCAGGAGTCACCCTTCCCCACACCAGCATTCTGAGTACTGTCTCTAGATAGCGATTTACCCTTGCAACCTGAGAATCTTATATTCCAGAAGCCAGAGGACTAGGCTCTTTCGCCCTCCCAGCAGAAGACCTAGCTACTCCCTGCTGAGGGGCACACAGAGCTACACATGTGGAAATGGGAGCTCTCTAGGTCTGTGTCTGCCTCCAGTTCAGCCTCATCTGTGGCCTCAGGGGCAGACATGGCCTCATCTAGGGCATCTGGGTCCTGGCTCCTCTTCAGCCTGCAGAGGAAGAAAAATACAGGCAGGTAAGTGGGACCATCCTGAGACAAGGCAGACAGTAGGCATGACTGGGAAATAAAGGCAGGCATTGGGTTGCTTGAAAGAGACCAAATCATGGGAAGGAAAGCGGCACCAAAAACCTTCCATTGCTTCTGAAGGAAAGAACCTGAGACAAATGCATGACCAGAATGCAGACAGAGCAGCTCGGGGCCCTTGTGTGCTCGGATCCTGTCACACACCACAGTGAACGCCACTGCAGACAAACCTTGTCATCAACTAACCGATGTCAGCACTCTCTGCATGTTGAGAGTCACAGACACAAAGACATGACACAGACAGACCAGAGTCCTAGATACGTGAGACACAGGCCCCAGGATGAGTTGCACCAGCGCTGACCTTAGTAGGACCTCAGAGATGTACAGTCTGACCCAATGCACGCAGGAACCATAACTACAACATACCTATTCAGTGACCACTGAGTCTCTGTTCAAAGACCTTCAGGGAAGGGTAACCACCCTCCACCAAGGCAGCCCATCCCACTTTGGAACAGGCCTTGTTTGTAGGCCATTAAAGCCACGTCTGCTGTTCAGGGCCACTTCTCCCACCACTCCTGGCCTTTTCCTCTGGGGACATACACAGAATATGCCTACTGCTCCTAAATGAAAGGCTTTCAAATGCTTGAAGACAGCTTTTGTGTCCAGGCAGAGTCCAGGCTCATCTTGGAGCTTTAGCACAAATCTGATGTTGTATGCTGGGGTAGGGGGGCAGCACTTTCCAACTGGTTCTAGGGAGCCCTTGTCTTTCCTGTCCACCTTTCTCATAGAGGCCGAACTGAATGTCCTCATAGGTGCCCTGGCCTGAGTTATGGCCAGTGGAGAGGGAGCCATTGAAGCAGCTGGGCCCCTGGATGGTCTGCTGCACTCCCTATCACGGAAGAGGAGTAAGGGCTCCTTCCTCACTCCACTTAAGGGAAAGAGCCCGACATGCAGAGTCAGAGAACCTTCCAATCCTAGTGTCTAAAAAAAGAATGCAATTCCTGTCAAGCGTAAGCCTCTGGAGGGCAGGAACCAATTGCTCTTAGTCTTTGTATCTCCAGTGCCTTGTGCAGATGCCTGAAGCAGGGGAAACACCTGTAAGTGCTTGTGAGGTTGATGAAAATGCTGGACAAGCATCTGATAAAGAGCAAGTCATTCAGAGTGGCCCCAAGTCAGCCAGTGGAGAAGAGGCAAGCACCCTTCCCACAATGGGATGGCATATGGCAGAGGCCTGACAAAGCTGGGCTCTCCCCTCCCCAGCTCTCTTCTGCTTCTCAGGAGAGTCAGCTCAAACACTGGCAGGTCACCTAGGCCAACACCCCAACCAGAGGGCTACCTCCTGGAGTAGGCTCTGCTCCACACCTGTCATTCTTCTCTAGCCCATCAGAGCTGACACAGTCAGGGTCATGCCCTTCATGACTGCCACAGAGACAGGGCTGGTATAGTGGGACCTGGGCTTCTGATAAGAAGCATGAGCCAGAAGCCCCCTCTCCCCACCCCTACCTTTCACCCTTTGGGGCTGCCCATCATTCTTCTCTGTGAGTGTCTCCTTCGGCCCATGGACAGATGAGGAACTGTGCAGCCTGAGACCCCATCCTTAGAATATTAAACACCAAGAAGACAAGAAAACCCTTGCCCCATCATCCCAGACTCCCTGTGGGTACTTACTTTTCTCTGTTAAAAATCACAAAGTCTTGCTGGATGGCCTCAAGACACTCTTGAAGATAGTCATTTTCCTGGTTAAAAAAAAAACAGAAGTGAGTCAGAGAGCCCCATGGGGAGGGCTGAGTGCCAAGGCTCACTTTGTTCCATTGCTGGTGCAGATCATGGTGGCACTGCCACATCACCTTGAGCAAGTCACCCACCCCTCTCCAAGTTTTCTCATCCAAAATGTGGGCATGATGTTTGCCTTGCCTACCTTGGGCAGGGGCTTTGTGAGAAAAGTACCTTCTAACCTTCAATGCTCTCTAGAAGCAGAAGCAGCAATGATTGTTGTGAGACTGTAGGGAGGAGCAAAAGAGGAAGGGCTGGCCTGGACAAGGGCACCTGGGCCCCCTTTTTCTAGTTTGGTCCACAGCTAGATCTGCTCCGCCACCCCAAACCAGTTCCCAAGTCTTTCTGGGCCTCAGATCCATCATTTGTATCGCAGACCGCTGGGGCACCATCCTTGACATTCTCAGAAATCTTCCAAGAAACAAGAGTGGCCTGAGCTCTCCAGAACTTGGTGACCCAGCAGGCATCTCTTTTGGCCCCTTGCAGCAACCCTGTGAGGTGGGTGCTAGATGCACCCCTCCATCTCATATCTGAGGAGCTTAATGTTTTTAAACAAAGCATAAGACTGTGTGGAGGATTAGCGAAGGGAAAGCCTTGAGATCGAGACATCTATTAGGAAATGCTCACACTAGTCCTGGTGAGAAGTGAGAAGGTTGGTGACCATGTGAGTGAAGAGAGGGAGACGGTGGCAGGTGAAGGGGGGTGGATTGGAGAGATATGAAAGCATAACTTGGCAAATGATGAGATATGAGATGAGGTTACTGAAAGCTAAACCCAAATTCCTTGAATCTGGTTGGTTGTCTTTCCACTGGAGCCTGCTGCTTCCTGCATTCATCCTGTTCTGTGAGGTATCAAGTTCTCCTGCTCCAAACAGAGAGCCAGAGGAATTCCAGTGATGCCTTCCTGAATACTCGGTGGTCAAATGCCCTTTTCATCCACTATCTCATTTGATTACAATCTCAGAAACACTGATTGGATGCAGAGATGTAAGAAAAAGGCAGGACAATGGATGACACTGAGATTTTAAACCTGGGATGCTGGAAGGATGATGGAGCCCCTACAGAAACAGGGAAGTTCAGCAGAGCAACAGATTTAGGGGAAATTCAACTCAATTCAACTCAACAAGTATATATCAAACACCTGCTATGTACCAGACACTGGGATATGGGACATGGATACCAAGACACAAAGAAAGGGGCTTCTGCCTTGAAGGACCCCATTTTCCTGGGGGCATGTGGACCAGGACAATATGGACACATGGAGCAGCCCCTCTAGGCTCAATCCCCCAACTTATACTGGCACTGGCAGGTTGGGTTCCCAGAGAGATAGCTGCTACTTTGGGTTCAAGGGCTAACCATGGGAAGGACTATTCTAACAAACACTGCAGATCATGAGCCCCCACTGGGGGGCTTCCCTTTAATAATTAAGTCAGGAAACTCAGTTGGCTTTTATCTGGACAAGTCACTTAACCTGTCTACCTCAGTGTCCTCACCTATAAAATGGAATAATAATAGCATCTACCTTCCAGGATTACTGTGAGGACAAAATCAGATAATATTTGTCCAGTGCTTGCAAACTCAAAGCATTATATAAATGTTTATGATTATCCAAAAAAAAATTTATTCAAATGGTGTAGCAAGAGCAGTAATTGCAAAGCATTTCCTTCAAAACTTGGACTGCACTTCCCCAGAGAAACCCTGATTCTGGGGGATGGGTTTGGAAAGGTCAGAATAAAATGACTGATGACAGTGAAGCATCCAATGGGAAAGCATGTGGCCACTGGATATCAGAGCTCAGGAAGAGCAGAACCTTAATGTTCCCATCTTCCTCTGGAGAATGGACATGAAGTTAATGAAGGGCTGGGGGTTGGTGAGGGAGGAGTCGCTCTGCTGCTGGGCTTGACAGGACACAGTGGCTCCAGTAGGTGGGTCAGATTACTGTTGGGCTAGGACAGGCAGGCCATCAGGCTGACTACTTCCTGTGCTCAGTAGCTTCTGGGAAGGACTGGGAGGGTTCCTCAGCCATTGAACATTGCTGGGGTTGGGATGAACCAAGCAATTGCTTTGCTGATGGGATGCTGTTGCCCAGGGTGGGATGGGCAGATCATTCAACCATTGGGACCTTCTCAAGGACCAGGGACAGCTCTGCTGGATGGGTCAACTGATTAGACTCACTCTTTAATAGGGAACTGTTGTCTTCATCACCTCCAGTCTCTGGCTTGGCTGGATTTGACAGTACGCTCTTCAGTTGGAGTTTTACAGTGCTCTTTTCAGCATGAGCCTCAGGGTAGAATTGCCAGAAATCTCTCCTTATTGACTTCCTCAAAGCCCTGGCTCTAAGATCTGTCACTTCCAAGCAAGGGGTCAGAGAGGTCTAGTTTTTCTTGACTCTTTTGTCTGACAGCTCTTCCTGGTTTGGAGCAAACTCCCTTCATGAGGAACTCTATATTTCCTTAAGGTGGTCAGCCAGGTACACTTCCCAGACTCCTGTTGGGATTTTGTTCAATTGAGCTACCGGGACAAGGGTCTTGAAGCAATCTGTACCCTGGGATAACATCAATACATCACTAGCCTCTTCATGCAATGCCGAGCTACTCAAGCCTTAGACCCTCTCCAAACTGTGGAATGCTTTGTTTACATCTATCTGAGAGGGCACTCCCTTGGCATTTCAAAGGTCCTGTGTTTGCCCTTTGGCTCTGCCAAATCTAAAGAACTGCATCCTTAGACACAGGTCATATATACAAATTGATGCAGAGCAAATACAAAGTCATTTCATGGAAGACAAGAAGTTTCATTGAGGATTTTCCTTCGAGATGCAGATAGTAAATCTAGGGAGAGATATCCCACAAACAAAGACGTGGAACTCAAGAACTCAGGAGAGAGATGAGGTTGCATACATGGAACACAGCTTTAAATATGTAGCATTTAACACTACTAAATAATAGTATGTAATATATAGTACACAGCTTCCAATTCATAGTATTTAATACATAATACATACTACATTATGTACACAATTTGGCAGGGACCTTGTACATCATTTGCCTTGTCTCTTCGGTTTAAAGATTAAGAAACTGAGGCTCAGGCAAGTGACCCGTCTGCAGTTACAAGGACAGTAACTGGAAGGGTCAGGATTTGCACCTGGGTCCTCTGACAACTACAAACCTCATGCATTGTTGGTCCATCTGCCTCCTGTTGCTTCCTTGCATGGTGTGGGGTGGGGGCGGGGAGGGGATGAAGCATTTGGCTGGGCACTCCCTGAGGCCACACAGTTTTCCCTTCATCTGACCATTGTCTACTCTTCTGCCATGAGCACGCTCTTCCTATTGTGCCACACTGCCTCCCTCTAGATTTGGGAGTCATCTGTGAAAAGATGATCATTGAATCCTGGGGAGTCGAGAAGACCGCAGAGGGGAAGAGTGTAATGGAGAGAGCCCTGGGAGCTACCCATGGTCAGGAGATGGGTGAGCATCAGTAAAGAACGTTGAGAAGGCTCAATCAGACCAACTGGAGAAGAAGCAGAGAAGATTGTTACATCGAGTCCTCGCAGGTGGTTGAGCTGTCACTATTGCTTGGGCAGCACTCAGGCACTGAGTGCCTCCGGGGTTCAGGCAGATGCATCTGCTGTGGACTGGTGGGCACCTGAAATCAGGTGCATACATTATGGCCTTTGCCCTTGCTGGGGTGCAGGAGGATGGCCAGGCAGGACACCTGCCCACAAGGAGCAAAGGCTGAGGTAAGCAGGATGGCTCAGACTGCCTCTGAAAGTGGGCTTGGCCTTCCGTGTGAAGTTGGTTGTTCCAGACCAAGCCTACAGCTACATGTTTGTCCACTCTCAACAGCTTTTGGATCTCACCTCTGGGATTCAGCTATGTCTCATCTCTGCCTTTTTTCCAGCTATTGATCAAGGCTTTAAGCAGCCTGGGCCAACCAGAGACTTGAGATGCTCCACTGAAGACCTTTTTGAAGTTGAAATTCAGTCCTTAGTGATTGCTCTTTTGGGAAGATTGCAATGTAATGATTGCAATTCAACATGGTGAAATCACCATGTTGCCAAGTAGGCTGGGGAGAATCAAAGCAGGGGAAGATTGGCCTTAGCCAAGAGTGTGCATTTTAGGGGCAAAGAGGTCATGGGGAGAGCCTAGAATGCAGAATTAGAAGGGACCTTATTAGTTCTATCCTCTCATTTAGCAGGTGGAGAAACTGAGGCCCAGGGAGGAAAAGAGACTTGCCCAAAGTCACCAGGGTAGGAAGCAGCAGCAGTAGGGGGCTCATGATGTAGAATCCACTAGAATTCTGGCAGGAGCCCACTCCCTGACACGAGGCTTTCCTGCCTGCTGTGTGAGGCTTTAGACCCTTCTAGAGAGGCCGAAGGTTTTCCTTTTGACACTGAGAAGGGACAGGTGGCACCCAGTGACTTACCTTCAGACAGATGGAATGCCCATCAGATTCCAGGGCCCTGCTGTTTGGAGACACTCAAAGCCCCTCATACATTGTTGGGCACATTGTGACTATGGCAGCCACACTCTCAGAGCATCCTTCATAAGGTCACATGTTTCCTCGAGCCTTCTGAGTTATTGTTCTGAACCCATCCACCGACATCCGCAGTCATCGCCTCAACAAACACCAGTATAGGGTGTGTGATTTGTGCCAGCATGCCCTTGGCAGTGGGGGAGCCCTAGGGAGCCCCTTCCTTAGGGCACTGAACATTTGCCCGTATGCCTTCCCTTGCTGCTCATGGAAAGGACAGACTCTGCTCTGTTGACCTTACCCTGTGGGTAGCCATCAAGTCCTGACTCTCCCTACCTCCCCTCTGCCATGGCCAGGGACACAGAGCTAGTAAGTTTGCTGAATATAAGTTAGAAATTGTCCTAAGACCTCTGGAAAAGCCTCGAGGTTTACTTTGGGTCTCACTGAAAGCATTTCATGGGCAAAAACAAAATCCCAGGCTGTGGGAAGGGGCCAGTGGGGCTGAAGGACCCTCCAAGAAGCCAGAGTGTAGCAGCTGCCATCTGGAAGCCATCCAATGGAGGGGGTCTAATTCCAGTGGAAAGAGGAGGAAACACCCGTCAGACCTAAGGCTGAACTGTGGAAAGATCACCCAAACAGACCAGAAAACAGACACATTGCTCAGGCCTCTCTGATTCCCATCTGGAGCTCGGATGTGACCAGAGAGAAAATGTCCTGGCGCTGGAGATGGAGGGGCTGGCCTCAAGATCCCCCTGACCACATCAGGGATTTGTCCTTGTCTCCCTCCCTGGGTCTCAGTTTCTCTGTTTGAGGCTCTTGGAGCTCTAGCTGGACCCAGGTCCTGGGCCCTCTCCCCCTGTCATGGGCTGTTATCCCCAGGATGGCTGAGATCCAGAAGCACTCACCGACTGGGAGCTGTCTTTGCTGTTGTCCCTAGACTTGTTCTTGGCCAGCCTCTTCTTCTTTTTGTGGAGGGGCCTGGACTCCAGAATCATCTCCTCCAGCTCAAAGGTGGGGTCGCAGTGCAGGCGTCCTTTCTGTGGAGAGAGCGTCAAGGGACGAGCTATGGCCAGTGAGCCCCGAGGGAGGCCCTCCCCAGCAGGTGTACCCCTTTCTCTTCCCTCCCCCAGAGAGCTTGCTGGGCTTCTGGCTAGGGGCAGGCTCCAGAAGCCCATCTGAACTTTGCTCAGGGTTCAAGGGCTACCTGGAGGAGGCAGATGTTCTGTTGGGGACCTTACATTTGGGACAAAGCCAGGCTCCACCTTCTTCTGGCTCAGCTCATCCCACATGATATCTGCCAGGTAAGGGGAGGCCTGGATATCTGTCAGGCTGGAAAAGCGGTGCTCAGGGCTCACGGTGAGGAGCTGAAAGGAGAAAGATGGTGAGGTGAGGAGCCAAGCACTACCACTGCCCACAGGCTCACTTTTGTGGGAGCTGAGCAAGGGCCACATGCTGAGGAGAGGAGACTGTCAGGGACCTCGTTCCCTGGGCTCTCAGCCTTTTGTGCCAGGGGACACACCTGCATTCCCCTGCATATAACAAGCCTCAAGGGTGTGATCCAACGTTGGGGGAGTTCAGAGGACTGCAAAGCTCCTGGCTGCTCGCACATGCCTGCCTCTAACCCTCCTGGTATGTGCATCTCCTGGACTTCCCAAGCCCAAGAGGCATCTGCATCTCTTAGAGCACTGATGCCAAAGCCATCTGCTCCAGGCTTCCAGCCCCTTCCTCCAGGCAGCTTTCCGAGGGCCACCAGTCACTATGGACTAGAAACCTTTGCCCACACCAGCCCCATCTCTGGGGGTGCCTTCTTTACAGCTCCTGCCAGAGTCTATCACACTCAGCCAGGTTTAGTCTGGCCTGGAAACCCAGCGGAGCTGGCCCATCACCGCAATGACGCTGGCTCACAAGTAAAGGACCGAAGAAGGGACCCTGGGCTCCAGTGGGGACCACGTTGGCAGCCTGGCAGCCTGGGAACATGCCAGTGGGGTGCTTGAATATGCCTGTGCCCTACTGCTCAGATGGGAAGTCCTCGTGAGACAGGGCTGAGGTCCCCAGGAAGCAGCCAGTCAACGTGTCTCCACAGGCGTCCGTTCAGCGGCCACGATGTGCCAGACACTGCTGGGCCATGGGAACGGCCTCAAACTTGGGGCAAAATCCTGGCTGTGCTACTTCTTGCCTGGGTGGCCTCGTTCAAGGCACCTCCCCTGTCACGGGCCTCAGCTTCCCCACCGACACCATGAGAGGTTGGATCAGACAACCTCCCACGGCCCTTCTAGCTCTAAAGCTAGGACACTGACTTTCAGGGAGACTGAGGGAAACAGCAGCCCGTGTTCACACACATGTCCATGATCGAAACGCTTTAAAAACACGGTCCCCAGAAGCACCAAGGTAGGTCCTCACTCTGCCAACAGGCAGCACCTGAGCTCTGTGGGAATCTTGCCTCAGAACAGCTATGAATCATGTGTCCAGCGTCAACTTGCACCCAAGACCTTTACGCTCTCCCACCCCAGTTTGTATGAACACATACATGTGCATATGTCTATTTCCACACACTCACAAATGCACTCGTATACACATGTGGACACACATAGTGAAGACTAAGTATACACAGTTTACACTTATAAAAATAGTCTAGGGCTAGGTCCCCAACCTCTGACTTCATCAGTGTCGGGGACTCCCAGATGGGCAACTTCCTCTCTAGTGGAGGCTGCAGCCTTCTCTGTGTCATCACCTTAGAGGATGTCTTAGAGCCCTGAGAGTTTCAGTGACCTGCCCAGGGTCACACAGCCACGATATGTCATAGGTAGCACTTGCCCTGGTTCTAAGGGCAGCTCTCTTTTCACTGCACCGTGCTCTCTCATATGTGTATGCATGTTTGTGTATACACACATACATACACACGTACATACATACATACATATATACATATTTATAGATATGTACTCTTATATGCACTAGGAGAGTTTGGAGTCGTATTATCCATCTTTCTGTTTATATGCTAAATGACATTTCCTCTATTTAAGGTCTTTTATCCTGGGGATTGTGGATTCCCAAGGGATCTTTGGATAAATTTCGGGGAGGGGGGAGTCCTGTAAACTTGGATAGGGAAAAAAATTACATTTTTATTTCAATGTAACTTGTTCCATGTGCATTTTCTGTTTTGCATTTAAAAACTTTATTCAGAGTAGGAATCCATAGGCTGAAGCCAGACTGCCAGAGAGGTCCATGACATGAAAATGGTCAAGAATCCCAGTTCTGACTCTATTCACTGTTTCTTCCTTTCTGCCAGGGCTCTGCTGGCCTTGCTCATTTTCACAGCAATTCCTCGAGCCATTCCAAGTTGGGCTCAGGTGTGTCCATGGTGGGGCTGGGCAGCCGTGTGGCCCATAGGGGCCCCATATCTATAAATATGTATATATGTATGTATGTATGTACGTGTGTGGGTATGTGTGTATACACAAACATGCATACACATATGAGAGAGCATGGTGCAGTGAAAAGAGAGCTGCCCTTAGAACCAGGGCAAGTGCTACCTATGACATATCGTGGCTGTGTGACCCTGGGCAGGTCACTGAAACTCTCAGGGCTCTAAGACATCCTCTAAGGTGATGACACAGAGAAGGCTGCAGCCTCCACTAGAGAGGAAGTTGCCCATCTGGGAGTCCCCTTGGTGACCCTGTGATGTCTGCTGACACTTGTGGCTGTGGGGATGAGGTTCCCCATCACTCCTCTGCTAACAGGACAAAACTGAATCCCTTTTTCAAGCCAAAAAACCCTGCACAGACCTTTACATAGGGGAGAGGGAACAAGGTGCTATTGAGAAAAGTCACGTCTCATTAATGATGTAAATTGCTAGTCAGGTGATCTACTGAAGCAATTACATTATAGTAACTTTTTTTACAAGACCGTATATAACTAGCCCTAATTCCATGCCAGGCTAGCTACTGTGCACAGCACATCAAGGGTTTGACCTAGCTTCTGACTGCTGTGGGCTGCTCTGGGGTAATTGCAGGGGCAGGGACAGTGGAAGCTTACCTTTCTCAGAAGTCTGACCATCCCTTGGGACCATGTTGGGGCATACTGGACACTCACAGTGCTGAATAACTGGACCAGGGACTCCACTGGGTTGCTTGAATGGATGTCATAGGGTCTCTGGAAAGCAGAGGAAATGGCAATCCATTACCTGCCAGCATGGCAGGAAGGAAGATGTTTTATGTCACTTTCCTTCCCAGTGATGTGACCCCCAAGATAAAGGACTAGACACTTTCTCTGATCCTCATCACCTCTCAAACCTCTCCAAAATAGAAATTATGTACAAGAGATAAAGAAATTTCAGCTATCTCCATGCATGAAGACAAGAGTCCTCACATGGTTAAAAAAATCAAAGCAGAGAAGGATAATCCCTGAAACCTAAGTCCCCCTAAGAACCCCTTCCCCCACCAGCCACCAGACTCTGGCAAGGCTGAACAAGCCAACACACATGCTAACAACAAAACTCAACTCTGTGCACTTCTCCCACTTCACCCACCCACCCCATATTGAGGAAAAACAAGTCAGAAGCTTTCTCTAGCTTGGACTGCAGTGTGGCAATGCTCTGTGCTATGAACAAGGTCAGCTAGAGAACTGAAGAACAGGGGAGCTGAGGCAGGACACACATGTAGTGCCCTCCACTAAGCTTAAGGGAAAGGAGACTGGACTCTAGCTGGGCCAGTTCTGTCCCCCCAGAAGTCACTTGGGGCAGAAACTGAGGTTCATGAAACATAAACTGCCCAGCATGGGAGGAGGCTAAAAGAGTTTCAAGGTTCCATTTCCAGGGAAAATTCAATCAAAGTGGAAGGAGTCAGAAAGTGAGTAATAGGGGAATATAAAGAAAAAAGACTGAAATTACCAAAGATCTCAAGATCAAGATAATTCCATTAAAGATCTTGAGCACAAGTAAATTAACTAATAGAGAAGATATTAATAACAGAAAGGATTATGGCCTCCAATTGAGTTAAACATCTATGTCTAAACATCTATGAATACATATTGTTAAGACAAAGAAAAAAGAATCAGTATCTGAGGAGGCAAATGACTGTGCATTTCCAAGAGAATATGGGACCACAAAATGTTCCCAAATAGTTTAAAAAAGAAATAGGGATTGTGAAAGCATGATTTGTGGCCTATATAACTGAAATAATTGGTGGAATAGAAAAACTTGAATCCACGGTGGCAAACCTCATCAAAGAAACAAAAAAGAGAATCACTAATTGGAGATGCAAATATACAGAAATGAATGATAAGCTAGAATAAGAGAAGCAAAAACTAATATGATCAAAAGAAAATATGATTTCCATACAAGCAAAATATATTGATGATTTTAAAGACAAAATGCAGGGAGACAACTTAAGGATTATAGGTCTCCCAGGAGAACATGGACAAGTCAAAAAACCTGAACACTAAAATTCAGGAAATAATACAAGAAACTTCCCAGAACTTCTGAACACAGAAAACAATGTGCCAATCAAAAGAATTCATAGATGACATTCAGGGGGAAACACCCTGTGCTATAAACTCCCAAAAACATAGTGGTAAATCTGACAATTCCAATGATAACAAATTCTGCAAGAGACTAGTCAGCCAACTAATATTCATTTAGTGCCTAATCTGTGCCATGGACAATGCTAAGTGCTAGAGATACAAATAAAAGCAAAACACAAAAAACAAAAAACAACAACAACAACAAAATCCTCACTCTCATGGAGCTCACAGTCTAATGACCAGGAGAAAGATTTCAAATATAAAAGAAAGGAAATTTAAATAACACAAGACTATTCTGCACTCACCAGAAACCACAGAAGGGAAGGAAATGCTGTGTTCTGAAGAGCAAAGGAACTCAAGATGCAACCCAAGATGACATACCCTGCAAACCTGAGTCTTATCATTAATGAAAAAATATGGGTATTCAATTAAAAGAGGTGTTCAAAGTATTCCTACAAAGAAAACCAGACATGAAGAAATTATTTGCTTTTCATATACTTCAAGCAATAGAAATACAAGAAAGGTAAACATAGCAACTATTGACAACAACAACAAAATAAAAAGAAAGAAACTATTAAATGATTTCTTTCTAAAGGTACCATCACACAATGTGATAAGGGTCAAAGCGGGAGTCAACTAAGGAAGTGATGCTGGGAAAATAGGCCTCATACATTATGAATGAAACCTCACAATAATTCAGTTAATAGTGAATCAATGTTTTGTTTTGGGGGGGCGTGTGTATGTGTGTATGTGACTATGTCTGTGTGTGTATCTGTATGTCTCTGTATGTTTGATTAAATTGCAGAGTGAGAGAGGGCATAAAGGGGAAGAAGAGAAGAAAAAGAAAGAAGGGAATATATTATGAACCCTAATTAAGTCAAGGGATAACAATGAAGGGAAAATAACTATTACAGTCTCTCAGAAGAAGACCTATAGGAGAATGGTGAGAAGACAAAGGGAGAGATTGAAATGGGGAAAGAAAGGGAGAAATCCTGTTTCAGTGATGACAGGGCATCCCACTGAAAGACACTCCCATGTGGAAAGAGAAATATTCTATAAATGTAAATAAAGCCCTTATAGTGTGTATAATCTGCAAGGATTTAATCCTTGGAGAAATCATTCATCCTTCTCAAGAAGGGAAATCAGAGCTGCTGGGTAGACTGACCCTTCAAAAGAGTGGGAGGGCATGGACCCAAAGAGGAGATATCATAGCAAATGGGAAAAAAGGGATCATGGAGAGGGCAAAGGTTAGTAATGAACTACGCAATCAGAGACAGGGAAATTCCTACTATGGGACAATATTCCTATATTCCTATACTCTCTGTCACCTGCAGGAGTTGGCATTTCTAAGAGTGAGGCACAGCATAAAAAAGCAAGAGGGATCAAGGTATAAAAGCCAAAACATAGAAACCACTTGCAAGAGGAACCCCAAGAGGGATACCTAAAAGCTTTAATTTAATGAGGAATCCAGAGACTAAAAAAGAAAAAAAAAAGCATAAGGACCACGAATCAAGGAATAGGAGTCTAGAACTGACAGAAAGGCAAGATCAATTGAAAGAGCAAGGGATGGAGGATTGCTGAGGGTGAAGGGAAGGGAGCTAGTAGAATTTTGGGTTGCCTAAGTTAGGGTAAGTTAAAATAACTGAGGAGATGCAATACTATCTTGACTGAGGAAAAGGGGAGGAAATCCTAATTCAGCAATTTCCATCCTGGTATGTCAGGGAATCTGATGAGGAAGAGGTTGGGTTTCCCAGAGCCCCCATGTGCTGAATCAGTAGCTTGAAGCCTAACCTAGAACAAAATATGGTAAGAGAGACATGGGCTCTTGGGTTGGTCTCACTTGGCCCCCAAGAGAGCGAGCTAGTTGTGCTCCCGGTCCAGGAAAGTCTGCTCAGGCTAGAGCAAGGGAATCTAGTCCACTTCGGAAGATCATCCCAAGTCCATATGAGTCTCCATTTCGGGGCCAGATTTGATACTTCTTTGGCAGTCCCAGAGCACCCCCAGTGTTCTGGGGCTCTGATGAGCTATCCATGGAGCACAGTTCCAAAGAAAGCTTGTGGCCACAGTGAAAAGAATGCAGCTCAAATGGAAGCTCCTTGAGAGCAGGAACTATGGCTTTATTTCTCTCCTCTTATCCATACCACCAAGCAAAATGCTTTATACACAATAAGTGGCTAAGAAAGATATGCTGAGTTTAAAAAAAAAGAAAACAACGGATTTAGAATCAGAAAACCAGACCTGGAGCATTGACGGGACAAGCTACTCATTCTTCTCTTTATGGAAAGGTGATAGACTTAGGGTGCAGAATAAGACATACATTTTTAGCCTTGGCCAACATGGAAACTAGTTTACTTGCCTATATTTCTTTATTACAAGGACCTGTGTGTGTGTTTCCCAATTTGGGAGAGGGGGGTGGAGAAAATGAATACTTGTTAATTTTTTATGAAGCAAACTAAAATGAAAGTTGTATTTAAAAAGAAACCAATTAAAAGAAAACTGGGTTTCAGATCTCAGGCCCATTATCAGGTTCCATAGCACCCCAAGGAGCTGGATGTTGGACTGAATGATCCCCGAGTCCCCTCCCCGATGCTCTGTGATTCTATCAGACTCAGATGAGTAGCTGACATCAGACACCACGCGTATGCCAAAAATGGAAGCCATACCCAGCCACGGAGCAGCTCATAAGCCATCACGCCCAGGGACCACCAGTCCACTTCAAAGGAGTAGCCAGTCCCTCTGTTGACAAAGGAATGGAAGATCTCTGGAGCTTCCCCCCCACAAAAGAGAAGGCAATGGTTTAATCACCAAAGTTTTCATTTACTGCCTAAACAATTTACTATATAAATTTGGGACAGGGGTCATGCATTTTCATCTTTTTATCATGTCACACTGTGTGACCCTGGATGAGTCACTTCAGTGCCCTAGTCCTCGACTATCTCCTCTGTAAGATGAGAGGGCTGGGCGTACTGCCTCTGAGGTCTTTCCATCTCTATATCTATGATTCTATGGTTTCGCTTCCCCCCCCTCACTGAAGAACAATTCAAAATCAGATTTGGGGACGTAACAACGCCCTTCCCGAGGCTTCACCTCAGTCCAATGCCTCTGCCCTCAGCCTGCTATTTCCCCATCCTCGTGGGCACAGCTCCCTTCCCTGCACCCATTTCAAAGCCCCGCCAAGAAGCTATCGCCTGACCCGAGCCACGTCTGCTTCCTCACCCATGTATGGCTTGGTTCCCGCTAATGCAGTGGCTCGTTCGCCATCCCGGATTATTGTTGCGATGTTAAAGTCACTCAAATGAGCATGTCCTTCAAGGCAAAAGAAACGTTCCAGGTTGAAGGTAAATATCTGGGAGCATATGAGGAAACGCCAATGGCCAAGGAGCTGCAACATATAGCTCTCTGTCCTCCTCCGGGAGCACCCCCAATTCTCTGAACTCAGCCTGTGCATGATGGCCGTGGATCGCTTCACCCCAGCCCCCAAGCGGGAGGCTCTGGGCACCTCCCAACTTGGAAAGCTGCTTTTTAAAAATGAGCTGTTATTCTTTTTCATAACCTTACCCAAATAAGTACATATATATATAGATAGATAGATAGATAGATAGATAGATAGATAGATACACATACGTATTCTAACATAACTATACCTATTCTTCCTTCTTCCCCCTCCCAGGAAGCCATCCCAACAATAGAGAATGAAAAGGGAAGCTTCCCTGGCTTCCTTCAAGACTCAGATCAAGTCTCCTCTTCTGCAAGCCCTTCCCCCACTAGAGCCCACCCTCTGACATGCTTCCATTTCCATGGTATAGAATATGGACCCACCAATTTTCTCTCCTTTGAATGTGAGTCGTTTGAGAGCACAGACCACGTTTTTGCCTTGCTTTGTATCCCCGGCACTTGGCACAGTGACTAGCATATAATAAGTCACTAAAACAATGCTTGTTGAATAATTGATTGATAGAAAGCTCTCCCAGAGAAGACTGTGCCTCGTGGGGTTAGGAGGGAAAGGGATCATTAACCAGACAGAGCTGGGCAGGCATCACAGGCAGCTAGGTGGTGCAGTGGAGAGACTGTCAGACCTCGGGGCAGAAAGACCCGAGTTCAAATCTGGCCTCAGAAACTTACTAGCTGTGTGACCTGGGCAAGTCACTGCCATTTGCCTCAGTTTACTCAACTGTAGCGTGGAGCTAATAAAGGCACCTCATTCTGAGGGCCATCATGAGGACCACATGAAATAACATTTGTAAAGCACTTAGCACAGTGCCTGGTGTGTAGTAGGTGCTCTACAAATGTCAGTTACTCTTATTATACTGCTAATTACCTGCTTTAAAGGCAGCTCTACAGAAGACAGGGATCAGCCTCATAGAGATGGCCCCAGCAGTGGCATACTGTCTCCTAATTCAGGGGGTGCCATTTGAGGGGGGTTCCCTCCAACATTCCTAATGCTGAGATTCCCTGAAGAAGATACTTCTCAAGGAGGGTGAATAAAACAGCCTCTTTGTTTTACAGATGGGTAAAATTAGGACCAGAAAACTCAAATGACTTGCCTGGGGTCACACAAATGACTAGCCAGTGGCAAAGTCAGTGCCAGAATATGAGTTTCTAACTCACAGCCCCATCCTCTGGACAGTAACACACTGACCGAGGTTGGTCTAGGGGAGGCTTCACCCTGACAAGTGCCCTATTGGCAAACTCTCCCAGGGTGCTGAAGATACAATTATACTCCCCGAAACACTCCTGAAAATGTGTCAGAGACCTCAGCTCCTGTGGAAATGCGGGGTGCCTGGTTGTGGGCTCTCAGGCTCCCGGGACTGCCCAGAGGGTCCCTCCCTGCCATCCCCCACCACCCCCAGACCTGTGGCCGGCCTTGTTTGCTCACCCTGTTCATCCAGGAGAATGTTGTCTGGCTTCACGTCTCTGCAGAAGAAGACAACAATGTGTGAATCAGAGAAGAACTGTTTCCTTATTCACTGATTCCTGCTGACGCTCTTGGGGTCCCAGGCGGGTAGTCAGGGGACCCTTGGGTCCCCTTCTTGTTTCTGCACTAGACAAGACCTCCAAAGGCACCTTTCCTGGGCTAGTTTCTTGAGCTGCCACCCCCACTTCTAGCAGCAGTTTGATCTATCCCAGGACAAAAGGGGGCAAGGGTGGGAGGTGACATTCCACAGATGACTACGGTGGCATGTACCCTAGATGGTCTACAATGACTGCTATAACCTCAGCTCAACCCCTTGTGCCCTGGGTGGTGCCATAGTACGGAGAGGGCCCACACATGGCTCCCCTTGCCAATTCCTCCTATTTCCCGAGCTCCTGGATTGACTCCAGCCTCACCAGGTAGAAGATGTGGCCACTGGGACATAGGATGTATTAAAACCTTCCTCTAAGGTCACTCCCAGAAGCTCCCTCAAGGCATGCAGGTGGCTCTGGCCTTTCAGAGTCTTGGGCAGCAGAGTTAATCTCTTAGGCCCTGCTAAGCTGGAGAGGCTTGACCTCCAGGCCTAGGAGGAAAGTCCCATGTGCCTGTGGTCTAAGGATTCCAACTCCAAGTGACCTTACACAAGTCATTTACTTCATCTCTCCGATGAGGAAAAGGATACGGCTGACATCTAAGGTACTATTCAGGTCCTAATCCAGGAAGTTGTAGCCACAGCAACTCACAAGTTGTCTACTCAGCTAGAGGGACTGTTTTGTCCCAGTGAGAGAGCCGCCATACCAATGAAGCAAGGGGTTCTTAAAGCTATGGAACCCATTTTATGGTTTGTAAATTGGAGGGAAGGAGATGGGGCCTTGCTTCTAAAGAGTCCTGGTCTCACACTGGTTTGTATGTTCCCCCCGGCAGATCCCAATGCCCTCAGTTCTTGCCAAGTGGGCTCCCTGAGTCCTCACACTGAGGTCTCCATCTCCCCAGAATGAGCCACCATGCACTGAATCCTACAGGGCCATAGACGCCAGACTTAGAGCCCACCTCAAGGTTGGCAGGCCCTGGCATGATGCAGTGTCTGCTGGTACGGCCTCCAACAGCCCATGATGAGGCATCAAAGAATGACATTAATGCTGTCATTTTATCTTCCTAATTACATTGACTCTGAGCTAATATAAAAATAGTTGGGATTCCGTGTGTGCACAGCAGATGGGCTCAGTGATGAGTGGTGAGTGACGGAGGAAGCCAGCCCAGGATTAAAGCAATTGGCTAGAGATCATTCCCACAGAGCTAAGGATGGCTGACTATATCTGCTTGTGGACAGACAACTCATCTGGGTCATGGTTCATTTTCCCCTGGAACACGATGGAAGTACCTTGGACAGATCTATCCTGGGCCCATAGAAATCTCCACCTCTTGGCCAATGAGTACATGGCAGATGCATGTCCACACTCAGCTGCTAATCACCGGTGGGGGCCCAATCCTAGCATACTCATTCAAGTCTCCAATGCAACATGTGCCTTTCTTCCTCTTAAACCTACTGCTTTTCCCAAACATCCTCACTTCTGTTGAGGGCGCCAAGATCCTCCCGGTTACCCAGGTTTGGAATCTTCCCTCAGAACTATCCTTGACTTTTCACCATCCCTTACCCTGTGCTTCCAATCACCTGATAAATCTTGTCTCCACAAAGTATTTCATATTCGTCCCCCTTACACTGCCTCTACCCCAGCTCAAGCTTTTATCAGCTCTTGCCTCAGTGATTACAACTGAATGTTCATCAGACCCGCTGCTCCTTGTCTCCCCTCTCTGAGATCCAACCTCCACCCAACTGTGGAAGTGTACTTGTGACTCTGTGGTTCCCCCCTCAAGAAGGTTCACTGGCTCCCTCTTGCCTCTAGGAGAAAGACAAATTGTTCAGCTTGCCATCTACAGCCCTTGTCAACATGTCTGCCATCCACCTTTCCAGACTCATTTCACGTATATGCGTCGTTCCTGCACTCTATGTTCAAGCCAAACCAGGTCGCTTGCTGTTCACCAAACACTACATCCCATCTCTCATATTCATGTCTTTGCACATTGTTTTTTTTTTTTTAGTTGTTTCAGTCATGTCCGACTCTTCATGTCCCCATTTGGGGTTTTCTTGGCAAAGATACTAGAGTGGTTTGCTATTTCCTTCTCCATCTCATTTTACAATGGGAAAACTGAGGCAAACAGTGTGAAATGACTTGCCCAGGATCACACAGCTAGTAAGTGTCTGAGGTCAGATTTTAACTCGGGTCTTCCTGACTCCAGGCCTGGCACTCTACCCACTGCAGCACCATCTAGATGCCTTTGCACAGGCTGTCCCCAATTCCTGGAATGTTCACCTCTTTATCTCAATCACTTTTGCTTAGCTGAGGTGACCCATCTGACATAAGGACTTTCTGGTTCCTCTAGTTTTTAATGTTCTCCCTGTCCAAAAAATTCTTTATATTTATTCTGCATTTTTAAATCTGTGTACATGCTGTATCTCCCCAAAAGAAAGTAAGCTCCTTCAGGACAGGCACTATTTTGTTGCAACCTTTGTATCCCCTGCCCCCAGAAGAGAACCTGGGTGAGTAAATACCTTTTTGGCAGGGTCCACCCTTGTGACCTCATCAATGTAGTAGAGCTCCAGTGAGGAAATGCCTTTCTTTCATGTAGCTTACAGTCTTGGGGAATCACCTGGACTATTGAAGGGTACCCAGGGTCACCCAGCCAGTATTGGAGGCCAAGCTTGTAGACTGCTCTGAGGCCGGCTCTCTACCTACCAGGCTGCACTGCCAATCTAACTAATATATCTTGAATTGAATAGAATTGAAGTGAATCCAAACACATTCATCGTGTCAATGCTTTACTCCCAGGGCTGGCTCTGATTGTGCTGATGCACCTACCCACCAGGTAGCCCATGATACATTAGACAAACAGCATCTGTGATAACCAGGCTTATACGGTAACCATTTACCTGTGGATGATGTGCTGACTTCGCAGGTAGTTAAGAGCGAGCGCCATCTCACAGATGTAGAGCTTGACTGTCTCCTCTGTGAACTGCACATTCTGCTGCAGGTGATAGCGTAAATCCCCTCCTAAGAGTAAATCCACCACCATAAACATATCTTCTTCATCCTGAAATGAGTACCTGCAAGGAGGAAGTGAGGACAAGGTCAGCAGGGCCCATCAGCACTACTAGAGTAGAATAGCTCACATTTCCATGATACACACTTGGGTCACAACAATGTTGCCTAGACATGGCAACTGAGAAGGCTGCTTCCACCTGGGGGCTCATAAGCATCTAAAAACTGAGCATGTCAGTAAGAAGGCCCCTCACTCCTAAGACAATCCAAGCCTGGCTGATGTTTGGTTAGATGACCATGTCACAGAATTACAGAATTATGGAATGTGGGAGTCCACAGGTACCTCAGCAGCCCAACTAAACCCATAGAGAAATGGGTGCTCCTTAAGAGGTACCCAACCAGTCATCACCCAGACTCTGGTTGAAGATCTCCACAGATGGGGAGATCACCACCTCTCCTTAGAACTCAGGCCACTTCCAGGTGGCTGTTAGTGTTAGGAAGTGTTAGTATTAGGAAGATTTTGTGGACATTAAACCTAATGCAGCCTCTTTGCTGCTTTCCCATGGCTCCTGGTTCTACCCTCCAGGGACAAGAAGGACAAAGCTAATCCCTCTTCCACGTGACACTATTTCAAATATTTGATTTGTGCATAAATTAGATTTAAGTGAGACAGAGTTGCACAAAGTCATCAGCCTCACTCTCTCTTCCACAGTTATCACAGTTCAGTGGCAGGACTGGTGATGGATTGAAATGCAATGGATGACGTTGGCATCTTCATTGTCTAACCAAGCTCTAAGTGCTCCACAACACCTGCTTCAGCTGCATTCATGGCCATTGGAACAAACTGTTCTGGTCCACCCATCCCAGCAGGGGAAGTCTTGGCCTGAGCCTCCATCACCCCAGCTAGCATTTGCTACATTGAGCTTTACCCCAAAGCAGCTGGGGCTCAGGCACAGCCTTCTAGAAGTACTCCAGCCAGGGTTAAGGGAAGGGTGCTTCCATTGAGCCCCAGTTATATCACGGTGAACTCTGTCGCAGTAACCAAATTTCTCATGAAGAGAGTCTGAGTGGGAGCCAATCAATAGATTATTGCAAAGGGTGATTGCTCAGGGAAGATATGGTGCATGAAGAGGGAGCCTGAGTCTTCCATCACTGTGTCAGGCCTTCCACAACCTGCTTTCCTACTAAGTAAAATACCTAGGTTGAGCCCCTTCTCCACACAGAGTACTGAGGTCACAGTAAGCAGGTGAGTTCATTGATCTGGCTGCTTACTCTGACAGGCACCTTTTTAAAAAAAAAATTTTATTAATTCATTTTGATTTATTAACAATCACTTCCATAACCTTTTGAGTTTCAAATTTTCTCCCCCTCCCTCCCTAAAACAGCGTGCAATCTGATATAGGCCCTATGTGTACATTCCTATTAAACATATTTTCACATTACTGATGTTGAAAGAAGAATTAGAACCAATAGGAGGAACCACCAGAAAGAGGAAACAAAAAAAAAGAAGAAAAAAATAGCAAATAGTATGCTCTGACAGGCACCTTACCCCGACACTGAGCTCCCCAATGCCAAGTCTTCTGGTCAGAATCAATACACATATCCTATAATGAACCATGAGCTCAATCTAATCACCCAGTAAGATGATGTCTGAATATCTTTAATGAGTCATGTACAGCAAAGATGGCGCCATATATGCTTTTAACAGCAAGCAAACGGTAGGGTTTCTTGAGAATAAGGGCAGTCCTTCCTGCTGAAAACATGCCTAGCATCAATCAAAGAATCAAAGAACTGGCAATCAAAGAATTTAGTCACAAAGCACAGAGGATCCTCATTGAGCCCAACGTTTCCCCATGCTTATCTTAACAGAGAACACTTTAGGACTGAACATTTATGAATAGACAGCCCAACAATGCTGGTAAAAGGAGAGGATGGGCTAGACTCTGCCAAGCACCTACCAAAAGCTGTCTACACTGACTGTCTCCAATTCTTCACATCCTACTCACTGCTCAACCTTTGTATGCTGGCTTCTGTACCCACCTGGCAACTGAATTTGTCTTCAAGAAATCATCGGTGATCTCTCTACTGTCAAACCCAATAGCCTTTTCTCAGGCTTCATCCTTCTCAGTCACTTAATAAATGTTCATTGTTGAGTGACTTCTATTTGACCTTTGAAACTCTTGCTCACCCTCTCCTCCTCTGGAATTGTGTAGCACCCTTCACTCTTGGTTCTCTTCCTACCTGTCTGACCACTCTCACTCAGTTTCCTTTGCTGAATATTCATGCCCATTAACCTTGGGCCCCCACAAGGATCCATCCTGGATCCTCATCTATTTCCTTTCTACACTATCTCACTTTGGGATCTCATTGGTTCCCTTTAGCTTGATTATCATCCCTATGCAGGTGATTACCAGATTCCTACAGCCCTTCCTAGTCTCACTGCTGACCTGCATTTCCAACTTCCACTTGGGAACAGAGAACTGAGTTCCTGCTGATATCTTAAACTCAGCATGCTTACATCAGAACCCATCATCTTTCCCTCCAAACCCACTCTTCCTTCCAACTTCCCAGTTACTGGAGAGGACACCATTATCCTTGTCCCTCTGGTTGATAACCCCTTGGTGTTATCCCCAATGTTTTCATTCTTACCTATGCCATGCATCCAATCAGGTGCTATATCTTTCGATGCCTATAACATCTCACGCATCCACCTCCCACACCTCCACCCTTGGCTGCAATCACACAGCCCTCACCTGGTTCAGATCCTTCTCACCTTTCACACGGGCTATACTAGGAGTCTATGGAATAGTCTCCTACTTGGGTTTCCAGTCCCACTCTTCTCCAGTGCATCTTGCCAAACTTATTAACCAAGTTGACAAAATTCTTAAAACCCAAATCTGCCCTCAATTAACTGTATGACTTTGAGGAAGTCACTGTCCTTTTCTGTGCCTCAGTTTCCTCATTTGTCACATAAGGGGGGGATGGACCAGGTCAATGAAAAAATGAATACATTAAAAGGCATTGATTAAGTTCTTACTTTGTGCCAAGCTCTGTGCTAGGAAATGGGGAGATACAAATACAGAAAGTAAGATAGTCCCTACCCTCAGGGAACGTTCTAATGGGAAAGCCTACACACACAGTGGAGCGGTGGCCAGGGAGGGATATTTCAGTCTGGGAAGTCATCCCTATGATTATGAGGGACGGCAAGTGGAGCCAAATGGCAATGAAGTGTGTGTATGTGTGTGAGTGCATGCACACATGTGTGCACATGTGTGAATATGTGTGTTGTGCATATCTCTGTGTGCATATGAATATGTGTATGTGTGTGCATGTGTGTTAGTGTGTTAGTGTGTTGTGTGCCTGTCTCTGTGTATGTGAGTGTGTGTGTGTGTGTGTGCATGTGCATGTGTGCATATGTGTGTGTCTGTGTGTGATTAAATGACCCCTGAGGTCTCTTCAAGCTCTATGAATTCACTTAAAATTCTGGTTAGCAACAACCCTAAGGCCAACTTAATGGAGTCATGGAAAGTGCCCTTTTTCTCCCACCCCCTAGAGAAAACCCTCTTGACTGTCATGGCAAACACTTCTCGCAAACTCTCATGGCGCGATCTCAACACCAAGAGGAGATATTCACCAGAGATTCACCAAGAAGACGTGCTCGATGTCCTGCAGGATCTCCAGCTCCCGAAACACGTTGCGGACCTCATCCCTCTCGACGCACTGCTGCTTGTTCATGTACTTCATGGCGTACATCTTCTCCGTGTCTCGCTTCTGGACGATGCACACCTGGAAACACAAAGCAATGGAAGAAAGCGTCCCACACAAGGCAGCCACAGGACGAGGGGGTCTCAGGGAGCAGACACTGCAGCCTCCCCCACACCACCGCCATTTTGTAGATGGCTGATGAGACGACTGCCCAGAGAAGGGACGTGGCACAGCCAAGGTCAAATGGCAAGCGTCTGGCCGATCCCAGGCTTGCCCTCATGCCAGGCCCTCTGACTCTCAGACTGTAGGCCCAGCTTTGCCTAGAGATGAGGAGAGCCATTCCCTTCCTGTGCTCCATGGAGATCAGTGATGACTTGTCCAAGGGTCTTAAAAAAGAGAAAGAGGAACTTTGCGTAAAAAATGTCAGGCATCTTGTTCAGCAGGAAATCGATCCAACCTTCAGGATAAAGCATCTTGGAGCTGATCTTATGCCTCGGTGGAAAAAGAAACTCCAAATTACAAAGATTCAGTGTGCATGCAAGCTTCCAGGCACACATCAGCTGTGCTGTACAGAAAACACTTTCAAAGGGATTGTACATCTGGAGCTGGGACTTTAGAGGCCAACCCCCCCCCAACTTTACAAATATGGAAATCGAGTCCCAGGAAGGTGAGGTGACATATGGTCATACAAGGAGTAAGCATCATCAGAGGTGGGATTTGAACCCAGACCCCCCTGACTCCAGAGCCCAGGTCCTCTCTCCTGGGGCTTGCTGCTTGTGGAGTAGTGGGACACAGAACCCCACAATCAATGTCTGTTGGATTTGCAATAAATCAATCACTTGCCTTGTCTTTCCTTTCCTGAGCCCTGACAGAACAAGGCAGGGTGGCAGGGCTTTGAGCACAGGTTGGGTACATGGATACGGCCAGCCTAAGTCCTTGGCTGTCTAGAACCCTCTGGGGAGGACATTCTTAGAGCTTTCACATCAACAGAAAAGTGTCCCCTGGGCCAAAGGAGTCCGTGGGGCAGGGCAGGAGGTGGCAGAGGGGGTCCCTACCAGACAGTGGGTTGGTCCCAGGCCATCAGTTACCTGTCAGTGCCCAGCAAGGTCCCTTCTGACTCTGACATTCTGTGCTTCTCTAGAGGGATCCTTGTAGGGTCTCTAGAGCCAAAGGCCCCTTAGCCAAGATGAGGGCTTGGGGCGGCCCCATTTCAATATCTATTTTCCTGCATCTGGATTTCCCAGGCTTCTTGATTTCATGAATGTGTTAATTCAGAAATAGGGCATCAGAATGGAGGAAATGATCAAATGCAAAAGCTTAGGGTAATTAAAATAAATGTTTTATGAAATGTAATTGCATCCATTAAGAACCAAATTATCTCTTTATTCACATTGGCTGAGGAACTCAGGGCTCCAAGGTGGGGGGAAGGGGCTGGGAATTATCCTCTTCACTTCCCCGGCTTCATGACTGACAATTTCGGAGCCCTTCATGTTTTGGCAGCTGGAGAACAGAAGCCTTGAAGCTCAGAGGGGAATCGACTGGAGAAGAGTTGAGATGCCAGGCTTCCCTTTGTGGGGGTACATGCAGCTCTGGCTCCAGAGAGCCCCATCCGCAGACAAAGGCTTGTCTGAAACCAAGGGGTGCTGGAGCTGCCTTAGAGATGGGAAGGTAAAAGATTCACAGGGGTAAACGGCAAAGTGAGGAAATGTCACGATGACTGAGCAGGAAACTCCTTGCTGTGGTCTAGCAAGAAGGATTCTAGAGATCTTAATCGATCAATCAATAATTCATCGGACAATAAGGAGGGGCTATGTTCAGAGGGACCTCCACTAAGCATCAGGCAGAATATAAAGAGAAGGGGGCAGTTGTCACAGGATTCATTTTGCAGGTAGAAGACCTCGGGTCTTGGATCCAACACTTGCTGGCTATAGGACAATGGGGAGTCATTTAGAGTCTCAGTTTCCTCATCTACAAAGTGGGAAGGAAAGAAGAAAATAAAAAGGAAGGAAAGAAGGAAAGTAAGCGTTTCTTTTTTAAGTGCCTACTCTGTACCAGGCACTGTTACAAATACATCATTTGACTCTCACAATAACCCTGGAAAGCAGATGTTATTATTATCTCCATCTAACAGATGAAGGAACTGAGGCAGACAGAAGTTAAGTGATTTGCCCAGGGTCATACAGCTGAGTGTCTGAGGTCACAGGTGAACTCAGGTCTTCCTGACTCCAGGCCCAGACATCTATCCACTGTGCCATCTAGATTCTGCTTTAGGTGGGGATGGTAATATTTATATATTCTGTGCTGTAAGTGGGGTGCAGCTTGCCCTGTGTAAAGGAGAGCTCTTCTTGGTCATGTTAATAATCATTATCCTCATGAAACAGACCCAAGTAGAGTGACTGCCAGAGGACTTCATGTTCCCACAGGACTGTTTTCAATTGGGAACATGGCTTGAGCACAGCATCGAGAACAATTGATATAAAATGTGACATCTTGCAGAAAGACAAAGCCCCTTATGCTCCTGACAAGCATCACCTCCATTACCATCTCTCCAAAATTGAAGAGAGTTGAATCGTGTGTGTGTGTGTGTGTGTGTGTGCAGTCTATGTCTTCCTACCTCCTAGATATCTGTGCTATATTTTCTTTTCTCTATTGCATCTAAGTAATGTATCCCATAGATTAGTAAGACAGAGGTTAACCACCTGTATCTTAGGGGGAAATGATTTTAGAATCCAAAGGGAAACAGGCAGCAAGTACCTTCTTCAGAAATGGGGATTAGGGGAGCAGACACCCCATTCCCAGGAAGGGACAAGAGGAGCAGAGCTGCACCAGCTGTGTCTGCTCCAATCCAACTGCTTCTGGTGGAGGTGGTCACTCCATTATTTTTCGTGGCAGCCACTCAGCACTTCTGTTCTTGCCCAAATCCCATTGATTTCAGTTTGGCATTTGTAACCTTCCGAAGCTGCTCTCCTCTTCTCATATGGCTTCCCAATTCTCCCTTTTTTAGGCATGGGAGGTGCTAGCCTGCCTTTCACTCTCTAGCTATAGTGGTCATAGGGTCTAGACACCTCCCCAGGGGCTTGATCAGGGGAACGGTGAGCATTTCTTTCCACCAGCAGACATTGTTTCTAGCATTCTGTTACACTTAAAAATACCTTGGTTTCTTCTGGGCAAGACACATCAAACAAAAAGTTCTTCAGGATAAAGTTGTGGCTATGCATGTTAAGAGATTTGTTGGCATCCTGAAGCCAAAGATCAACAGGAAGAACCCATTTAAAGCAGTTAACACTTGTTGCAATAGCATTCCTAATGCACAACTCTGGAACTGTAAATGTGGATAAAAATGGACTTTGAAACTATTTGAATGAAAACTGTCGTTGTTTGAGAATGAAGGACAAAAACAACAAAATAAAAACTAAAATAGCAATGAAACGCAGGTCCTGTTGCCGAAAGGCAGCAGGAAGAAGACAAAGCTTTTCTCATCAAAAAGAAGGAAGAAGATTGATAGATGTTCTCAGTGCACATGATAAACAGGTTAGAGGAAATACTATTGAAACAGACATTACTTCATGAGGCAATAATAAAACCTTGACTAGAGACTTCATTTTTCAAGTGTGACTGAAAGTAGTTCACCCCAAGAGGGAGCCCACGAAACAGCTAAGATCCAAGAGTGGAATCCATGGAAATCAGTGGAATCATCTATGGGCAGCATCCAAATTAACCAAAGAAAAAGTATTGTGAAAAAGTCTGTGTCCAAAAATGGCTGAGTTGTGTGGATTTGTTTACAGAAGCAGAGAGGTAGAAGAGTGATTTGTCCTCTTAGTTTATGAAAAATAACAAATTTTTCATGCATAATTCTTGCTACCAGGTCATATCTTGTTACGTATTTATCACTGTCCAGTCATTTCAGTCGTGTCTGACTCTTTGCATCCCCATTGGGGGTTTTCTTGGCAAGGATACTGGAGTGATTTGCCATTTCCTTCTCCAGCTCATTTCACAGATGAGGAACTGAAGCAAAGAGAGTTACTCAGGACCAGATCATTGCCCCAGAAATTACAGCGTTAGGATTGTTCTTAAAGAGACCAGATTTATCTGTCAATGTAAATTATGAAAGGAAATGAAAGAAACTGTATAACACATTACCACAAGCTACAAAAATTTAGCACCTCCTAAATTCCTAGCAAGGGTCGCTAGGGGGTGCCTTGATGCATAGAGCATCAGGCCTGGAGTCAGGAAGACTCATCTCCGTGAGTTCAAATCTGGCCCCAGACACTGACCAGTTGTGTGACCCTGGGCAAGCCACTTCACCCTGTTTGCCTTAGTTTGCTCATCTGTAAAATGAGCTGCAGAAGGAAACAGCAAACCGCTCCAGGATCTTTGCCAAGAAAACCTGAAACGGGGTCCCAAAGAGCTGGATGCAACTGAAATGACTGAGCAACAAATACCTAGCAGGATATGACATGGTAGCTATGAGAATGCACAAGGAATTTATTTTTCATAAACTAAGATTACAAATCCCCATTCTTCAAATGTAAACCTCAAAATAATTTTGAGAATCCAAAAATAAACCGTAATGAACTATCATTATCACCAACGAAATCATTGCCCACAATTGTCCTCACCACGTCACTGAACTGTGAAAATGCAGGAACAACATTTGAGATGGCTGTCACGGTATCAACCTCTCATCATCCCTGAACTACAAAGATTAAAAATATTTCAAAATACAGAAACTGGGCAAAAGAAAATGCGAGAACAGGGTAAGGTCCACATCCTCCCCGTCATCTTGTCTTCTACTGGCTTCGCGCCAGAGATGAGTCAGCAAGCCCCAAGAAGCCCACCTTCCAGTACTGTTATTCAATTAGGAAAAGCTATGATTTAATTCACCTGTGAAATAGTACACATGATACTCCATGAAAGACTGACAGCTGCAGAGAGATGTGTCCCAGGATGTTTCTACCTGAACTATACTAAAAAAAAAAAAAAATAGCAAAAAGAGGACGTGAATGGCATTTATAATAATCATAACAAAGACAACACAAGATGTCTGCTAATAATGAGTTTACAAGCCAATAAATCGTCAT